AAGAGAGAGAAAAAGGTGGAAGAGAAAGAACTTCTGCGTGGCATGCTTTGGCTAAGGCCCACAAATCTTGCCATGGGAGCTGCCTCCAGGAGCTGATCTCATTCTCACACTACTCTCATAAGTGAAGACAATGTGATGGTCATGGATCCAGAGCAAGGGAGGTTTTTCCCAGCTCTGTTTTTCATTTCTCTTTCTCAGGTCTCAGAGGCCATCTCCGGTCAACCTGATCTGTATCTTGCTACTGGACTGAGATGGCTTTACAGAAGAGTGAGGCTAGTGACTTTGCACAGCCCTGCCTCACTTCAATCCAATTCACTTGCAAGTCAAGACATCATCACCCTTGTGTTATTGGTGTCTTCAAGAGTGAAGGATGAACAACAATCTGTGAATAGGAGTAACTGCCCCACTGGGAACCCAACTGTCCCGTTCCAGTGAGGCAACACTCATTCTTTCCTTCCTCCCTCCATTCCTTCCTTCCTCCTCATGGAGAATCATACACTTACATTTAGGGCCATTGACCAAAAGAATATAAATTGTTTGAAACTGAGCCCTGGAAGGCTTTCATTAAGCTCATTGAGATTGAAATGGAGCTGCTTCAATATACCATAAATCCAGATCACTCTGGCTCTCACTGATTGGCCAGTAGTAAGTCCCAGCCCAAGCCTCTCTGGGTCACTGTTTGAGGTTTGATGGCTGAAAGGGAGTGTAAATAGCAATTGTTCCTGCTCTGGACAGAGCTCTGAGGCTCTTCCCCTCCCAAATTCTTTTGAGTCTAGATCTCCCCATCTCACCTGGCTGAAAATATAACAGCTGCTCATGGGCTGGATCTCAGAGTTGATTGGCATGGAAACTTTCATATGCTCTCTTTCTGATCTGGGCCAGCTGGCATATTTTGAGGCAGCCTCCCAGGGGAGGAGACCAGGGCTTCTGTTGGTGTCAGACTCAATCGGGACACCTGATCTGGCCTTAGGCTAGCTGCAGCTCCTAACTTCTGAGCTCAAGCAATGCACCAGCCTCAGCCTCCCTGGTAGCAGGGATGACAAGCTTGGGCCACCATGCCTGACCTAGGTACCAGGCCTAGTGTTCTCCTTACTCAATCATTTGTTCTCCTGGTCTTTTCTGTCACTCTGCATCAGTACATTTTTATAAATTTCTATGGTTTCTCTAAAACCTTCTTTTCACCATGTACTACTACTGTAGACCATAATTTAGTCAGCCATTCCCCAACTGCTTTTTTTAAGACTTCAGATTTATGCTTTGTCAGCCATTACTGAGTTCATTCTAAGAAAGACAAACAGGGGCAGCTAGGTGACACAGTGGATAGAGCACCAACCCTAAAGTCAGGAGGACCTGAGATCAAACCTCCCCTCAGACCAAACTTTTGACATTTACTAATTGTATGACCCTGGGCAAGTCACTTAACTTCAATTGCCTAAAAAAAGAAAAAAGGAAAAGGAAAAAAAGAAAGAGAGACAAAATCAGGCTGCATGTACACATTTTTTTTTTTGTCTCAAAGCTTCTGGAACATGCATACAGAAATAAGCATAGGAGCTCATTGTGACAATGAGCTCAAGGACAGATAAACAAAGGGGCTCTTAGATCTTCAGAGGAATTCCCTCTCAACCCTCCCTCCCTGCCTGCCTCAGGATGCCTACCTATGTCAGCCAATATGAAAGTCTCCATATGGGTTAACCATGATATGAGGAAGGAATTTCTTAATTGCATAGAATGTAAATACAATAAAATAATAGAATGTCAAGTGTCCATTGACATTATCGATCCAGGATTCCTGTGTTTCTTTTATCATTAACATGCATACCTATCACATGACGTAGAATAACAAGTGTCCATATAATATCAAAATAAGAAAAAGTCTCATCATTCAACACAGCATCCAGTTGAAAGCATCCTGTCCTTGGGAGTCATAAACAGAAGAATGCTCAGGATCAGTTTCATCCAGTCCCATAGTTAGTTGCTGACACAGGAAGGAGCATTTTGGTTGCACTCAGAGAGCTAAACAAAGCACGTTTGTTATGCCAGAGCACGCAAAGCATTATGGTAGGTTAAGCTCAGAGCTGGCCAAAAATGTCTTTCTCCTCATTGTCCAATATAGGTTTTAGGACTTTCTCACTTCTTGGGGGGCTCCAAAATGGTTCACATCCCCTTTCTTTTGGTCAAAGGTGTGCCCAACGGTGCCAACTGCAGGCCAAGGCAATCATGGGGAAGACTTCACTTTTCCTTAGGAAGTGGAAAGAGATGTCCACTTGTAGCTGCTGCCATCAGATGACCCAGGAGTCCACATCCACAAGGTGGCAGCTGTGGAAGTACTCAGAAAGACCTGACAGGCTCTTAGAACACATGTCAGTTGCCAATTGAGAATAAATAGCAGAACATAGGTCCTTGGTTAAACGCACACAAACATGGTTCAGTTTCCCAGCACACAACACTAGGTTCCAACAACATAACAAAGTTTTTCCCACAATGCCCATAATTGCATAATTACCTTAATCAGAATAGATTAAACCACTCAGAGGATTCACAATAGACTAGTTTTGGTAAGGGAAATTGGCATGTCACCAGGTAACCAAGAAAATATAAACATCAACCACACAGAGCAATATGATCGTTATTACCAATGTTAACTAACATTACATCTCCTTGTATCCCAGTAATCTATTCTCAATGTCCATTTAATCAGCACCTTTTAAGTCCCAGATGTCTCATATAGTTACCTGGTCTCTAGAAATCTTTTGTTGGACAACAGGTTTTATTCTCAAGACAGTTCTACAACAGAATTCTGCTTCCCTGGTTCAGATCTAGAAGTTTCTAGATAATTCTGACTTAGTATAAGTTAGTACAATCACTTAAATTTGGTTCTCCAATTTGAAACTTCAGAGAATTTCACTTTATATACCATTTGCTGTTTCTGTCCTTACCTAAATCCTGTATCTAGAATAAGAATCTTTTAAAATTTGAGGGTCCAATCATAAAATGAGTTCTTCTGCCTTTCAAAATTATCAGATAGATACTTTAATAATGGAAAATACAAATTTGAAAAGTTATTGCCAAAGCATTCCTAAAGCCTGGATTTCCATGATAGTTAAATTTTGGATGCAAATCATAGAGACCTGTATATAATTTTTAGAGGAAACAGTTTAATCTTGTTGCTTTTCTCCCAAATTTGCTATCCTCTTTAATTAGAAATATATCACATCATACCTTTGTCTTCTTACTTTGCCCAATCACTTCCTCCAGGACACAGCCATCACCAGCTGCAAGGCCAGTTCCAGCATTAGCAAGTATGAGGACATCAGCATGGTCAAGACAAACAACTCGGAACCATGTCTTTAGAGAAACTCTGAGAAGACGTGCTACCCATCTGACAAAGGGAGGATGGACACCAGATGCAGAAAGTGGACTCTGACACTGTCTAGAGTTATTCTGCTTCACTGTGCTTGTACGTCACAGGGGATGTGTTTTCTTTATTTCTTCTCACTTTTTAATTCAGGAATGAGGGAAGAGCAATCATGAGGGAAGAAAAACTAGAGCATCGAATCATCTGCTTAAATGCACAAGAAAGAACAGAAAGAAGTATAGATAAGCATGACAGTTTCAAGTGACAGGGATGCACTTTATTCTACTTCTGCAAGCTGTGTGAAAGTGAGGTTCATAGTTTCGCACAGAATCCTCTTTCTGTGTTCTGCTGCAGGTATGGAAATGTTCTTCTCTTAGTGTTTAAGCTCAATATTAAAAATTTTAAACTGAAAAGGTACACTCAGTCAGACAGCTGCCACAGACACTCCTCTGCCCAGCATGATGTATGGGCATTACCAAAAAGACTGCTGGGGGAGATCATACTGCAAGAAAATGTAACGGGAAGCTTCCCGACATGTTTGTTTCAGAGCAAACATAAAGTACGTGAAGCCAGGAAGCAGCAGTGAGGAAGAAGAGCATTCCAGGAACATGGGATGCCACTGAAGGGGCACAGAGACAGAGGAGGGTCCTTTATAAGAAACAGAGAGAAGACCAGTGTCACGAGATCATGGGGTGCTTGGAATGGGGTAGAGTGTGAGGAAATAGGAAAGGGAAGAATTGGCCAAGGTCTGGATTTAGAGGATTTTTTATTCCATCCTGGAGGTAATACAGAGGGACTGCAGTTTCTGGAGTAGAGGAGGTGACACGGTGAGAGCTGCTGTCTCAGATGATCCATTTCACAGCCGAGTGCAGCATTGGCTGGAGTGGGGAGAAAGTGGAGGCATGGAAACCAACTAGACAGTCATGGCAAGAGTCCACCCTAGAGATGATGAGGGCCTGATACAAGGTGACAGCATTCTGAGTAGAGGAAACAAGATGAAAAAGGCACCTGAATGACCATTCACCCCTTTTGCCCTCAGTTTCCCCAAAACAAAAAGAAAGGTTGAAACAAGCAATCCCTTTGTTTTTCTTTTTAGCTTTCAGAAAGATGTAACCGAAATACAGAAGAGAAAAATAAACATATTCTCTCTCCCCACATCCAAAAAAACCTCAAGGGACGCATTCACCGCACAACACCTAGTAAACCAGAGCATCTCCAAGTCGCCTCCATCTCCATTTCATCTAAACCTGTGCCCTTAACTCTCTGAATTTTGTTGGTTCCTGGCCTTAGTTTTCTTTCTAACTCAGCTCCCTTCTTTCTTTTTTAATTCTGTTCTTTGCATAGAAACTTATCAAGTCTTGGTCTGTAGACCCAGAGCCATCTGATCTCTCCTGGGAAGGTAGACAGGCCTGCACCTGTTTATAACCACATTTGGCCATCCGCCACAGCCATCACCATGTCCAGCCTAAGACATGTACATTGACTACAGCAAGATAGAAAAAAAGCCACATGAGGTCACATTTTCAAGGAAATACAGTTAGGCCACTCCACCCATGTGTATATAATCACTCCTGGGGTCCTACCTTTCAGGCTGGACCAGCACTGTTTTGCATGGTGATGTCCAAAGGACATTTCACAATCTCAGCCTGAAAGACAAATATTTCCCATCAGTCTACCTGTGAACTCAGAGCTGTCTGCCTCCAGCTCTGCAAGGGTCACAATGCTCTCCCAGTCCTTGCTCCTCTGGCTTCTACTGCTCTGGCCTGAAGGTAAGAATTCCAAAAAGCCATAGGCTGGCACCACTTCAGAGACAGAAGGAGTTTTCCAGTGGTCATCTCTGACACAACCTGAGGATAAAGGAACTACTCCTGCATTCACTGTCTCTACATAAGATTCTTCATTCGCTGAAATCTCTTTCTTCTTCTCCTTTAGAATCCCAGGCAGCCATTGAGCTGACCCAGTCCCCAGCCTCCCTGTCTGTGGCTGCAGGGGACCAAGTCACCATCAGCTGCAAGGCCAGTTCCAGCATTGGCAAGAGTATGGCCTGGTACCAGCAGAAACCAGGACAGGCTCCCAAGCAACTGATCTATGATGCTTCCACCCTGAACTCTGGGGTCCCTGCCTGGTTCAGTGGCAGTGGCTCTGGGACAGATTTCAACCTGACCATCAGTGCAGTGGAGGCTGAGGATGTGGCAGATTGTTACTGTTGTCAGGCTTATAGTGCTGCATTCCCACAGTGATTCAGCGCTGAACAAAAACCTCTCCAGGCTGCTCAGCCCTTCAGCAGAGGGCAGCAGCTGCTTCCCCAGAGTCACAGGCTTGGGGCAACCACTGCCCTCAGGGGAGAACTGGGACAATTCAGCCCTGCTGCAGGAGCCATTTGTCTCAGGGGCCCTGGTTGAGGTAGAAAGAGTAAGAAGAGAGAGAAAAAGGAGGAAGAGAATCTTCTGCCTGGTGTGCTTTAGCCAGGGACCACAAACCTTCCCAATGGGTCTGCTTGTCATTCTTGCTCTGTCCTCTGCTCCCAGCTCTATATCCGGAAAACTGAGCTGGTTCTGAAGAGGAAACTGTAGATGATGCAGGGGAATGGACCTGGACTCTCAGCTCTTGCTGCTTTTCCCCAGCCAGGACAGACAGGTGTATGGAACAGTCCCTAAAGTTCTTGAGGCAACCTCATCTGTAGGATGGATCCAGTCTTTCTCCTTACTCTGGGAACTCACTGGAACTGTCCCATCATTCATGCCTGCCATCTGCAGGGATAGATGTCTGAAAACCTCATTTGAGGACAACAGGCCTGCCATCCCTATTCCCACAGGGCCTTGATAGTGCCTTCCCCGTGAAGAGGGGCAGGCCGGACAGAGCAGCAGCAGCAAGGGAGCCAGATCAGAAATGGGGTAGAAGAATTAGCATTCATGACCACAAGCACAGAAGCGCTCAACGGGACCCAAACAGTCAGATATAAACACACACACAGGCACACACACACACACACACACACACATATGCACACACAGGCACGCAAACACACATAGGCACACACACATACATACACACCCATACACACACACACACAACATGCACACACACACAAACACACACATAGGCACACACACAGATACACATACACACACACACACATACACATAATGTATATAGGTAACCAGGTTGAAGGTAACTAAGGGGTCTCAAACCCATCGGTGAATTAGCAGGGTGTCTACCCCAAGGCTGTGAAGGCTTCCCCTGGTGGAAGAGGCAAATGAGAACAATCGGTTCCAATGGCCATTAAGGCAGGTGAAGCAGGAGCCTGGGAGCGCTTAGAGCTTGGTTAGACATCAAACAAGCCAAGGTCACCCACTGCATGTCCAGCCATCACCAATGGACTGTGATCACTGTGGAGGGGAGAGAGAGGCTGACAACTTCCTTCAACTGTGCTGCACTTAAACACAAATCACACAGGAAACAAATGACATCACCCATACCATTTTGCCATTTTTAACTGTCTCAGAGAACCATGGTGACAGGAAAATAACAAACAGCAGGTACACATACACTGGGAGCTGTAGTCACAACCCCGCACACAGGTGACCAAGATCATAGGGTCGTTTCTCACTGGAAGCAGCAGTGGCATTCAGCAGCCTCTGGGTGTCTGAGCAGCCTTTTTGAAGGACCACACTGTTCACCTCCTGGTGGGAGGAAGGGGCTAGTAAAGGTGCCCTAAAAATTTTCAACTTACCCAACCCTGGCCTGATTACCATTACAGGAAGGGATCCACCCTGTGGTTGAAACATAAAAAAATGTACAAAAATGTCTGCAAAGATGATTCCACTCACCATCAGTAAAAGGAATGTGTACACACTTAGAGACAACACAAAATCCAATACACCTGAAAGTCGAACAGCTCTTGTTGCAAGGGAACTCAGCAGGTATCCCATCCAAATAGCAGCCCTTAATGAAACTGATTCCTGTACCTGATAGAAGAATCTTGTAAAAATTGGAGGGTCCCACAATAAATGAGCTCTTCTACCTTTTATAATTATCAAACAGATACTTAATAATGGGAAAATTACTTCATTATCTTTGCTGTTATCCATACAATTTATGTGCAAAATCCATTGAGAACTTTTCACCAAAACATGCTCAAAGCTTGAATTTCCATGAGAGATAAGTTGTGCACATCTATATAGAAGTTAATCATAGTAATAGTAATCATAGTAACAGAAATCATTGACATCTGCATAGAGTTCTTAGAGAAAACTGTCCAATCCTGTTGCTTTTCTCAAATTTATTATTGTATTTAATTAGAAAATGCTCACATTACATCTTTGTCTCATTACTTTGTCTAATGATTTCCCCCTTAGTAGGATATCATCCCTATATTATTATTTGACCAAAAATACAGGTTAAAATTACAAGATATTCATACTTGCTTCCTATTATAGTAACTCAGAGACACTCTAGTATCAATCTACAATTTAATATATTTAGTATTGTATTTACAAAACTTCTTGATTATACAAATTTGCTATAAAAGGCAAAAGACGGACATAGTTGCAAAAATGTCCTATACCATACAGAAGGGGAAAACTCCCTCAGCTGTGTTTGATTCCAGGCGTGAATCATATCTCACAGCTAATCATGTAGCCACAAGGTGTCCAAAAGCAAGGCTCAGGAGTAAAGTTGGGAATTTTTTTTTCAGAAAGGAACTACAAGAATGAGGAAACAGAGTCAGGAGGATACTAAAAGGCCCTCCACCATCATCCCCAAAACTTTTCCCTGGTATACACATTCACCTTTAGCAGTGCCCTGACTGCAGCACATGCCTTTTTCTACCATTCCCTTCAGGACAGTTCACACAACTATCCTATAGCAAAGCTTAAAACAATAGTAAATTACACTCCTTAGAATTTTTACCTTAAATAGCAACATTTCACTAACCACAGCTTAGGGCTTGAATATCCTTCCTGAAGTTTCCCTAACAGTGTTTCATTTATTCTTTATGTGGATGGGGGATTATGCAGCCATAAAGAAGGAAGTGCCCCTGACTCAGGATATCTGTGCAAGATGAATCTGATCTTCTGGTTGCTGACACAGAAGAAAAATTTCAGGTTCACTCAGAGACCATGCCAGAGGATTGTTGGCATCTCAGTCCAGAAGGGCTTAAATCATCTTCTCTGATTGGCCAGTCCATGTTTTTGGCCTTCATTGGGTAATGAAGGGCTCAAGCAGGTCTCACATCCTATACACCACATCTAAGCTCAGCAAACTCTAGGGCATCCCACAGACTTCCGGGAGTCAGAGGCAATAACACCCCAAGGGACAGGTGACAGTTCCTGACCTTGTACTTCCACACACCCAACATTCCCTTCTCCCACCTCCATGGCTTTGTACTGGATAGCCCCCAGGCAGGCCCTCCCCTCTACCTTTTAGAATCCTCAGGGCCTTTCAGCTCTAAGCTTCTACCTGAGAATGTGAGGTCACTTTCCATCTGAAAATACCCTCATATTTATTTTCCAGATGCTTAGAAAGAATATGTTGAATATCCTGGTGCAATGTATCCATAATGTCTACCACAGAGGAATCACATAATAAATTGCTTGTTGAGTAAGTGATTGATTGATTATTTGAATGATTGATTGATTGACAAGTCATACTTAACAAAGGATTGTCAAGTCCTGAAATCAATCCAAGCCACAAGTAGAGAAACAAAGCATCTTTAATGGAAATCCTAGGATAGCCAGCCTGCCACCCTGGGGGATGTCCTGTGAGTGCACAGCAAAATGGATTTTCCACTCTGAGATCTATGAAAACTTTTTTAAGCTTTAGGAAGCAAGAGGAGGAGCTGGGAAGGCCTGGTCATGAGATGCCAGCTACTTTGGGCAATCTGAGCAAGGAAAACCACTTCCTTCTCACTGTTTTGTCCTTCATGAATCCTAACACATGGAATAAGAACATCAGGGAGAACCTGGCTCCAGCTAGTTTTGTCTACAGGGAAAGATTCCAAGGTGGGGGCTGGTTGTTGTTTATCCTTCTTTCTGGAAGAGGTCCAATGACATCAGGATGGGATAGCTTGAGTTGCAAGTGGAGTGCACCTAAGTGAGGCAGGGCTGTGCTAAGACATCAGTGGAGGAAAGCAGAAAATGTACTTTAATAGGAAAAAAGCAACTGAATAACCATTTTGCTCCTTTTCACCTCAGTTTACCCCATATACAAAAAATAAAAGGTTAAGACCAGAAATCTTTTTTTTTCCTTTTCAGCTTTCAGAAAGATATAACAGAAACAGAGAAGAAGAATAAACGTTTCTCCACAACAATGCAAGGGACCCATTCTTCTAACAACACCTAGTAGACCATAGCATCTCCCAGTCCCTCCTCCCCTCCCCCTAGCCCCCATCTCTATTTCATCTAAGCCTGAGCCCTTCACTCTCTATAAATTTTGCTGATTCTCTGGTCTTAGTTTTCTTTCTAACTCAGCTCCTTCCTCTCTTTCTTCATTCTGTACTTTGCATAGACGCTAATCAACTCTTGGTATCTAGACTCAGAGCTATGTCATCACCCCTGGGAAACTACACAGGCTTCCCCCGCTTATAAACACAATGGGACACCTACCACAGCCACCACCATGTCCAGTCTAGGGCACATACATTTAATACAGCAATTAAAAAAAAGGCCACATGAGGTCACACCTTCAAGGAAATACAATTGGGCCACTCCCTACTTTTGCTTATAACCACTCATGGGGTCCTTCACTTCAGGCTGGGCCAGCACTGTTTTGCATGGTGACATCCAAGGGACTTTTTACAAACCCAGCCTGAGATACAAATATCTCCCATCTGTCTCCCTCTAAGCTCAGAGCTCTCTGCCTCCAGCTCTGCCAAGGTCACCATGCTCTCCCAGTCCTTGCTCCTCTGGTTGCTACTGCTCTGGCCTCAAGGTAAGATTTCCAATGAGCCATAGTTTGGCGTCACTTTAGAGACCGAAAGAGTATTCCAGTGGGCATCTCCGACTCAGGCTGAGGGTAAGGGAACTACTCCTGCATTCACTGTCTCTACACAGGATGCTTTATTCACTGCAATCCCTTTCTTCTTCTCCTTTAGAATCCCAGGCAGCCATTGAGCTGACCCAGTCCCCAGCCTTCCTGTCTGTGGCGGCAGGAGACCAAGTCACCATCAGCTGCAAGGCCAGTTCCAGCGTTAGCAAGTGGATGGCCTGGTACCAGCAGAAACCAGGACAGTCTCCCAGGCTCCTGATCTATTATGCTTTCCCCCTGCAGTCTGGGGTCCCTGCCCGGTTCAGTGGCAGTGGCTCTGGGACAGATTTCACCTT